GGGGAGGAGGGCGGGGGGGGCGACCCGAGCGCGGCCGCCCGCGGAGCAGCGAGGCGGGGGAGCGCACAGGTGTGGGCAGCCAGGGCCGGACCGCCCGCCAAATACTACCATATGTTGACTCCCTGGGACCAGAAGGGGAGAGGGAGGCACAGTTGGGAGAAAGCAGGAGAGCTGCCAAGATAAAGAATTCATTACAGAGGAGTCATGTCGTGATCTCACACTGGAGACAAGTGAAATATTCTGTGTGCTTTAACATTTGGTGAAAATATCCCAAACCACATGCTGCCCTTCCCCCACCCTCTTATGCCGACCAGGGTTGCTCAGACCCTCCAGATCTTTATTTTAATTTCATCGGAGCCTTAAAGCCCGGCTGTGCAGCGCATTACTGCTTTAGTCAGAGTTTCATTCTGGGATGATGCTGACATAGCGTATGTGCTGAAGAAAACACCTTTCATTACACGGTTTTAGCGGAGAAGTAGGAATTTAGGTTCATAGGGGACGTAACAGGCAAGTCTCATCATCTCAGTTTGCAGAAGGGTATCTTCCCTGGGTTTGCAGACAGTGATGTAGTTTATAACATGGGAAAGCTGCACAGTAGATTTGCCAACACTCATAAACATTTTCCCCCACCCCATTTCTTGGCTGGTGCCCATTTTTCTCTTTTTGAGGTTTTCTTTTGTTGTCCAGAAAAAAACATCAGACTTCAATTGTTCACAGAAACAGCCGGTGTGACATTCCCACCATACCATTGCTCATCATTAAAGTCTTGGGTATGCAGCCTGTGCCTGCTGAGGTGCACTGTGAGAGTACGGGAAGAAGGAGCAGGACAGAATCACCAGTTGATGCAGCAGAACAGGTCAGAGGTATGGGGCAGAATGCACAAAGAGTCGTGCCAAATATCCTTACTAAGAACCACCCTTCTGGTTTTTCATGTCTCAGTTTTTCAGGGCTGGATGTAATCTTCAGGAGGACCAACGGGAGAGGGTTTTGCACCCGGATCTTGATGGTATGACTGGAAGTACGCACTACTGTGATATCTGTGGGAGATGACAGCTGCTTAATTATGCCCACACCTGGATCTGTATGGTCAGGATCGTTAGGAAGGTTAAAAACCAGCAATACTGATGTTAGCCTACAAACATCTCTGAGAACATGAACAATAGCTGTGACAACCATGAACTGGCCTGGTTATATCTATGGTGTGTTTGCTTGGATGCATAAGTATTATTTGAAGGAAATTGTTTTGTCTGCTGCTTACTGCTTACTCCAACTTGTTGTTAGATGCTGTAGCAGATAGTGAGTCAAGCAGAAGTAGGACAGCAGCTCACTGTGAGCTTATATGAGTTCATTTAAAATTACCTCCACCACTCTCCTGAACAAAGGAGAGAAAGAAATTATACTTATTCCCTATTACAAAGGGCCCTAGCGTAAAGTCCTAAAATAAGTTCTCCAGTAGTGAAGTCAGCTAAAGACATCTCCTGTTTGGCTGCTTGATCCTGTCCACTCGGTTGTACTGCCAAAGATGCTTGTAGGCCAAGCTGTAAACCAGATCACTGAAACCCTCTTGGTTAAATCCTCCAGTAGACAAAAGAGACTAATCAAAAATATTGGGAAAGTACAAACTTTTTTTCTTCCAAATGGTCTGGACTGCAAAAGAGCCAGTTGTCACGAAGACATCTGAAAACCTTCACCTTCTTTCTGATAACTAAAAGATGAAGTTGCTGCAATCTTAAAACTTGTATTAGCAAAGCTGAATGTAATTCAACTATACTGATAAGCTGTAGATGAGAGGAATAGTCAAATTAAGGATCCAGAGAACCAATACTCAGTTTGTGGTACCTTCTGCACAAAAAAGATATAAGCCTCATATTTTCATGATATGAAATCGGGTCTACCGCTAGTGCAAGAATTATTGGGCCTATCTGTGATGACTTTGTGTATGACAAGAATATTTATGGTGAGATTTTCAGGGAGAGTGGCGACCTAAAAATCATAAAGTCAGCCTTTTATTTTCTGGCTTATTAAAAAAACATCGTTTGTGAATACATGATTGGAGTAACCAAAGCGATGAATTTACAATATACTTGCAATTCTGAATAATACTCTGTAAATAAAATGTAGCTTGCCTTTCCCGGGGAGAAGGGTTAACAAGCCTGTATACTCTGAATTTACAGAGCAGGGTGGGAAAGCATGCATGATTAATACTACAAAGTAGCTAGACACAATAACAAGTTCCTGTGCCCACACCTTTAATAACAATATAGAAGGAATATTTAAAAATAAGTTATACTCTTTACCTCCTTTAGGAAAAAGAACCATTGGTTGCCTTTTATTTTTGGGTGAGTTAACATTTGCACTGTAGAGTGGAAAGGCATTACTAGTTGTAAAAGTCATGTCTTCTCTACTTGATATTTCCTGAAAGACTACAGTTGACTAAAGAACTAGTAAAGGTTTTGAATCTTAAATAATTAAAGCCTGATTGACTGAGAGGGGAATTAATTTTAATCGTGCTTGCTTTTTTTTTAAAGTGCTTATTTTAAATGCTTGACAAATATTTGGAAAAAATTATCTTTTCAGTAAAAAACATCAACTTCTCACCTTCAGCTGAGAAGTAAGCAGTCCTCTTTGCTTGAGTCCTTAAAAACGCACTTAATTGCTTTATATTGCTTTCATAAGATTTAAATGTTTCTTAAATGGGGAGGCTTCCTGAATTATGACTTCAGAAAGCTGTTTCCATTTTAGAAAACTTTCCAGAAGGTTGTCTAGAACAGCTAGCATGGCCTTCAGCACTGCTAAGAAAACAGTCCTTCATATTCCTTATATTTCTAAAAGGAGAAGAAAGGTATTCAAGAAAAAGTGCACACTTTTTTTTTTTTTTTTTTTTTTTTTTTTTTTTTTTTCTTTTAAGAGAACACTGTTCAGTGCATTTTTCCTCAAAAACCAAGATGGGGAAGAACATAAAACTAATTTTGCTTTCCAGTTTCATAGCACTGCAGCATCTGGGCTGGGAACAGCTTTTGCTTGAAGTTTGCAGCCCCCCAGGACACAACTATCTCACAAGTTACACAGATTTGGCAGCTATGGTGTATGTTTCCATAGCCTCCCTGAACTCTCACATGCCAAGTTGGATGTAGGAGGTCTTTGCCTACAGTTGCTGCTCTGGCCACCAAATGACTCCTTTTACTTTATTTCTCAGCCTCTAAATTCATTTATATAATTTGCATAAAGCTTCACACATGGGCTGTATTGGCCTCGTGGATGCAGACCAAATATCTGTCTTGGCTTTAGGATCTAGAAAACTTATTTGTACATCAGTAAATTACAAGTGCAGTTCAGTTAACAATGTGCCCCAAAAGGGATGAAGGCTAAGTTGAGTGTAAACATATTAATGTACTCCCCTTCTGAATGTGGTGTGGAGCACTCAGAATATTTCTAGTGCCAAAGGTCAATAATTTCTTAATTAGACTGAGTTCTAACCAGAACGAAACAATAAAATAAAGTCCTCATCAGATTGTAACAGGCCTTCCTAACAATATAAGGCTTGCTAGGTGCTTGCTGAACTATGAGAACATGCAAGGATGGTTAGAGAGAAAGGGAAGAGCTAAATTGTAAATACAGTTCAGTCAAGTCCATCCACCACATGGCAAGGCCTGCCCTCATCTATTATAGATCTCATCTATTTGAGCCTGTCTGTCTAATAACCTGGCCAAAATCAAAGCAAGCTGTAGATATTCCCTTCTCCCTCCAGCTCTAGCATATAGTGTTGGCCTGGCCAGTCATTGTTTTTTTCTTCACTCAAATATTTCCCGTCAAGCTGAGTTACAAATGTATGTAGCCTCTATTGTTTATCACAAGTGTAACATGCAGAACAGATCAAACTTCCTTTATGCATACAAATAAGTTTACATTTAAGAGCCTCCACCAATTTTGTTTTACTGGAAAAAAACAAATAAAAAATCAAACAAACAAACAAAAAAACCCACAAAAAAAACCCAAACCAAACTTTCAAGGCCCTGAATTTAATTTCAGAAAAGATGCTTTTGTGGTTTGCTTTCTCCCACGTGCATGCATGTGTGAGGAGAATGCTTTTTCCTCCTTATGGCCAATGGTATAAGAATTCCTGGCAAAGCTCAAAATGAAATCCATTATCATCTGTCAGTAAAATGATTTCCAAATTCCAGCTGGATGCTGTGCAACCATCTCTTTAAAGAAAGGCTCCTTCTGCATTTGGTATTGTAGTTCTACTGTCTCTAGGTAACTGAACTTTGGAAGCAGTTCAGTGCTGCCAGTCAGAAAAAAAGTCCAATTTCAGATATCTCAGGCTTTATTCCTTCCCCTTTCCAAAACAGATCACAAGGTTTTATTCTTCTCCTTAAAGAAATAAATCCAAAGGAAACATTTTCCCTCCCTTCTAGAAAGCCAAACTCCCCACATTCACCCCATTCTCCTTCACTTTCAAATCCTGTATCATTGCCTGTTTGCTTCTGGCACAAAAGGAGTAGTTTCCCTAAGGTTAGAGGGTCCTCCTCCACGGAGATCTGCTTTTGTATCACTCCTCACTTTTACCACTGTCAAGAAAGGGAATCTTGCGCAGTAGTGCTGAGCACTAACCACTAAGCTTTCTCAACAGCCAAACAAAGCAAAGTCTAAAAAAGGGAAATTTGAAACATTATACCGTTGCTGGTGCAAAAATAAAAACGTTTCTAATCCATTAAAAACAAACATTAACATCATGGAGGGTAAACAGACCTGAGATGCATGACAGAGTTTGCACTGAAAATATTGATAATAAGTGGTGGAAAGACATGGTATGGTTCTTTATTTTTTAAAAGGAGAAGAGATTATTTATGAAAATACATGCAATCTGAGCTGGAATTGGAGTAATTAAATGGCTAGA